GGGCTAGCACTACTCTCTGTAGTCGGACTACGACGACTACGACGACGACGACTACTAGTGTTACTGCTACTCCTGCTGCTGCTGCTGCTACTACTGCTGCTACTACTACTACTACTACTACTACTTCTACTTCTGCTTCTGCTTCTGCTTCTACTTCTACTTCTACTTCTACTACTTCTACTACTACTACTACTACTACTACTACTAAACCTACTACTACTACCAGTAGATGAGTGCGAATCGGAAGGAAGGAAGGAGTAGTAGTAGTAGTAGTAGTAATAGTAGTAGTAGTAGTAGTAGTACTGGTTGGGCTGGTTGGGCTGTAGCATCAGCAGCAGCAGGTAGTAGTCCAGTAGGCACAACCTTCTCTAGACTAATCCAATCTTGTCTCTCGGGTGTGAGTAGCTGCGGCAGCCAGGCACCTGTGATCACGTGTGCTTAGACACCAACCAAGTAACCATCAAATCTCGAAAAGAGCTGCTCGATGCGATGCCTGTAGCGCCTAAGCTTTCTCCAAGCTTCTGGAGCTCTTTGCACATGCCCCTTGCAAAGCTTAGCCCAGACTCCGCTGATCGTCAAGAAAGCGCTGCAGAATATTCTGCTCATCCTGCTCTGCGCTTTCGATGGCCCGCTGGCAGAACACAGCCTGAAAAGGCATCGCACGCACCATTCGGAGTGATGCAGCTGTGACTGCACGACACCTCAAGCACGACGAGTTACAAATCGCAAGGAGCGCTCTGCCCCCATTGCCGAGTGGCTGTCATAACATTGAGAACCGCGAAGTATGAAAAAGCAACGAATCCAGTAAAGAAGTAGCCCCATACCCAGTCAATCTCAATGAGGTGGTCTGCCATCTCGCCCCAGTCCAACCCTCCAGTTACGCTCCGGAAAAGTGTGTGCATCGATAGGTGCCTTGGCCCCCAGGCAAACAACCACTGCTCGACTAATTAGATCACAACAGGAATCCGTCCAGCTCCAAGTGGCAGTGAGCCAAAGTAGGTCAGGAGCTCCGTCTGACCTTCCTGACCCACCTCTTTGACATGTCCAATGACCGTGTCGGTGAACAGGATGGCGAACCTGTCTTCCGGGCAGCGGCTTTCATGTCTCGGCATGGCCAGTTTCGGCTGGAGGTTTAACTGAACTCTGCCTGAGTCTACAGCGAAAACAGACATCCTTTCGTTTGTCACAGGCTGCCCTCAGCTGTGCTGGGTGCTTTGATGTGAATTGCTTGCTGCTGGGCCGCACGTACATCACCATCAGAAGTAGCACTAAGCTCCAAAGCAAGGATTTCAGCGTGGACAGGATTGATGTCACGAGCGATGTCAATGCCGAGATGAACCTGGAGCTGTTGGTGGCCACTGCACTGTTTGATCCCTAGTGTCAACGTTGCCAAAACTGACCCCTCAACCACCCGGATCAACGCCCATGCCGCAAGCGTAATGCCCGAGTCCCCGAGTGTGAGCCGGGAAACTTGACGACTTTGACGACCCGCATGACCCGCAGAACACGGATGACGCGGATGATCCGTAGCAGGCGGGTCTGTGTAGGAGCGGCCGACTCGTCAAATTCGAAGGCCAGGATCAAATCAAAGACCAGTTCAAAGATGGATGTACCGACAATGACCACATCCAGGTAATTCCAGAACAGTGCAGATCTGTCTGCAGAGAAACAGAAAAAACTCTTGCCTTGCACACAAACTTTCAGGACTAGCTCCACAGCAAAGAGGGTCGCATAGATGTAGTCCACAACTTTAAATCCAAGTGGAAGCTCTGACGAGAGATCCCTGCACACTGCCAGTCAATGCTGACAGGACATGATTGCATGAACTTGTGGGAACTGCGTAGAAAACAGCTGCTTGGCTTCATGATGTCAAGGCTTTGCAGCCGTGTTCAGCTCAGAAGCATTCTTGAGTTATTACATATGACATGCAAACAGGCCACTGAGCAGCGGCTTCCAACGAAATGCCTGGCACACGTGAATCTCTCAAGGCACTCTGAGACGAGCGGACTCTGGGACCACAGAAAGACATCAAGATGCTGCGGAGAACCCTGGCATGCCACTGCCGCCACGCAACACAACTCCCCACTCACGGAACAGGACGGAACCAGATGCCACGAAAGTTTGGGCAAAAAGACTGAGAGACAGGAAGTCTGCAGCCAAATCGAAAGCGGGTCGCTGCTGTGTGCTCTGAAGCATTACGGCTGCTTGGAGCGACAATGTCGACTGACAAGCTTTCTGCGGCCGTGCTCAGGAAAGTTTGGTTCTGATGTGCATTGGTTTCAGACTGCACTAGTCACTAGGCCGCTATGCCTCTTGCGAATCATTCCAGGCTTCGATTGCTTTCCACAGGGGCACTGCAGTGCTCCGGTCAAGACTGCACGTGTCGGAAATCTGGCAACGAACGAATGCACCTTCCGCACATCCTTGCCAAATTCGTGAAGACCACCGGCAATCCACTCTCTCTTAGGTCGACGCAAAAGATTGCAGTGTGGCTTGCGCTGGCTTCAAACTGACTCATGATGCCGTCGGAGGACTTCATGTAGGTGCAGTCTACGGCGGAGGGCTGAAACCGGGTGTTGGAGGTTCAGATGTGTGTCCAACCCGCCGATGCAAGATCCCCAGCATCAAGTCCGCATAGCTTCCCAAGGCCCTTTTGCCCACTGGCGCCTAGAAAGAAACAGTTCGTGATGATGACGGCAGCGAAGGTGCCTGCGACCACAGCAAGTTGCACTGCATCGCACCCATATTTGTTGCGCACGCCTGTCTTGACACCTCTGTGCTTTGCTGGAGCTATGTTGGAACAGAATCCAGGTCTACCCAAGTCTTTAAACACGGCTTTAAGAAGGAGGGAGGCAGACTTAGCAGATTCAGCAGCATACCCTGGGCTTCCAGACGACCATGATTACCGGGACCACCAGCCACCACGAGCACCAACACCGCGACGACCACTTCACTAGCAAGACGACCACGACGACCCTCGACATCGCTCGCCACTTGCGGGATGAGTCCACGCGGCCCAGTCCAAGAAGCCTTATTGGCTGACCCCGCGATGTGATTCAGCACTGTGAGGGCACCACCATAAAAATCGTTTCCCCCATGTACTGGCAAGATCTAGAGGACCACACGGACGAGCCCGAGAGGCCGCATAGTGCGGCTCTGCCAGGACTTTGCACATTTCGAGCGTTTCGAAGACAGAAGATCAAGCGGCCGCAACGGGATGCGACGGGACTGAAAAGAACGCGACTTCAATCGAAATGCGCAGGAGCCGCAGAACTGCCACGATACGTGAGCGTCCGGGTCCGTCTCTCTTCACCCCCTATGAAAAAAACTGCCAAGTCCGAGAGTGTTACTTCAGTGTTCGGGGAACAAGTATCCACCGGCCCTGGCAGCGTGCTGGATGGGTTGAGGTGCTAACCTCCCTTTTTCCCTCCTCCCACACCAAAATCCCGCGCACGAGGCGCCTGCGGGGGGAGGGTGCGCGGCACCATTTTCCATGGCGGACGCTGCCCTTGCACAGCGTGGCGTTGACACGTTCAGTGCGAATTGAGCCGTGTGTAGGAAGGTTTTACCCACCTTTTCTGCCCCCCCCTCTCTCCTCCCTCCCCCTATCCTGTCCCCTCCCTCCTCTTTTTTCTTACAACGACCACTACTTCGAGGACGACGACGACGACTACTACTACTACTAGTACTAATTACTGCTACTGCTACTGCTACCTGCTACCTGCTACCTGCTACCTGCTACCTGCTACCTGCTACCTGCTACCTGCTACCTGTTACCTGCTACCTGCTACCTGCTACCTGCTACCTGCTACCTGCTACCTGCTACCTGCTACCTGCTACCGCTACCGCTACTGCTACTGCTGCTGCTGCTACTACTACTACTACTACCACCACTACTACTACTACTACTACTACTACTACTACTACGACGTACTAGTGGTGCCGGCAGCAGTACTCGTTGTTGCAGCCAACTGGAACTTGAGAGGATGTTGACCACTGCGCTACCGCATGCCAATTAGAGTTTAGGGCTTCGGGTTCAGCGCACTACTCTGTCTTGTTTCCAAGCCATTCGCTCGGAGTCTCATACTCGTCGCAATCCATGAAAACTTTGAAATCTTGCAGCTCGAGTGTGGGGCACATGAAAACAAACTAGATTGACAAATACGGTAAGCCCTTCGTACTTAGACCCGAAACCCTCACAGTGATTCAACCGTTGGCCGCCATGCTCCTGCAACGGGTCGGGCCTCGCGCTTCACTGACGAGTCTCATTGACTCAGGCTAAATGCTCTTCTGTGTCGCCTACTGCAACCTCTGCCCTGACACCCGGACAAACCTACATCTAAAGAGTTACTTTCCCGGAACCAGCTCCACATCACATGTAACGTGCTTTCTTCTCTCTCCTGCGGGGTCAGCGGCTTGAGCCGAAGGCTCTTACATCGGGCAACGCCCTGCGGTTGCTGCCGCGGGCCATGGCCCTAGCTTCAGCTGTGGAGCGGAAGGCAATGCCCCGCCGACCCGCCGCAGGACGTGCATCATGGGACCCTCGTTTCTCCATTGGGCCGCGCGGGACCTGGTTGGTAGGCCTACCCGGCAACGCCCATTCCCTATAGGGTATGGCGTGTTTTGGGGGAACCCGCAGGCGACACCTGCTGGGCGTCACGCGGCGAGCATCATGAGCACCCGGCGCGCGCGCGCAGCGGCCCATCAGGCGCAGGCAGGCGCAGGCCGATGTTTTCGGAAGTTGGGAGGGGTACGGGAAGGCCTCAAATTGGTGCGCGCGCGCAATGATGCTGATGATGCTCACTGGAAGGCCTCAAACGTGGCTCCTGCAGGCGCACAATGATGCTGGCCACGGAGGCGGCAGGGGGAGGGACCAAGCGGGACGGGGCGCGCGCGCACGCGTGCTCATGAGGCTGGTCAGGGCGCGCCGCGCGCGCGCGCCCCCCACCCCCCCCGCGGGCTCTTCCCTGCCCCCCGCCCAATGAATGAGTGAATGAATGAAAGATTGAACGAACGAATGATTGAATGATTGATTCATTGAATGATTGATTCATTGAATGATTGATTCATTGATGGGTTGATTGATTGAAAGAATGAATAATTGAATGAGTGAATGAATGAATGAATGAATGAATGAATGAATGAACGAATGGATGAATGAATGAACTAAGGAATGCATGAATGAATGAATTGCCTGCGTTGCCCGACTCTGGGCGCAGCCCCTTAAGTTCTGCACACCGATTACTTGGCGGCGTGGGACCACCTACTTGTAAAGGCATTCTGAGCGAGGCACCCTCGAACCACTTCGAGGAGACGAACATAACAAGCCTGGCATGGCGGTGTGAACTTCCAGAGCTGTGTATCGTGCTGGGCACTGCCCTCCGCAGGGCGGACCATCTCCAACTCACCCCTTCCCTGCCTCTGCGCCATGCCATGAATCGCTGCATCTTCCTCGTTCTGCTCCTCGCTCAAAGCTGTTCGCTCATCTGAAGCGCTGAGCGAGCGGAGAAGTCTCAGCAAAGGCTCGGAGCGCTCTGCAGTTCGCATGGCCCGCTGCTTGGAGCGCGCATCAGCTAGTGCCTGACTCAGCTTCTGCTAAGACCACTAGACTCTGCTGGACTCTAGACTGCCTCACGCCCTCACAAGCATGATTGTCTCCGCGTCATCCCTGAAACCCCGCGGCGTGCCCTGCACATTTCCGCTCTACATTGCTTCACGCAATTCAGCATCTCAGCAGTCGCAGGTCACAGCATCTCGAGCCTCGTAATCCTCCTCTTCCAACAGTGGCATCGCATTCACCTAGTGTGGGAGGCGGAGGCACAGAGGAGGAGACTGGAGCACCCTTCTGCGCCTGCCACCGTTTCTTGACCACCTTGGACCGTCTGCTTGGCCTAGCGGCAAGGGTTGCGCACCTCATCCGAATTCATCCGACACATCCCAGTCGGGTGGCCAGCCGCCTTGGCCCCTCATCGCTGCGCAGTGAGGAGGCGCTGGCAGGATGCCTTCGGCTAACTACACCAAGTCGTAACGCGTGCTTCAACTAGACCAGGTCGAACTTTCCACTCAAGTTGCTCCCATTCTTTCGAAGCGGTTCTGGCAGATGCAGTCGGAGAAGCCTGGGACTGGGAACGCCATCACTCGCCCCATAGAACCGGCAATGGGTCAAAGTCACATAGGAAAACCGTGAGATGCGCCGCAACGGTGGCGACTCTCCGGGCAAAGCGAACTCGTTGAAGTATGCCTTGGATGATGTCTGATAGCTCCTGTGATTCTCGGCTGATGGCATGTAGCCTTCATATAAAGGGCTTGCATGGAGCTGTGGCGATTTGCACCACGTCCCTCAAGCGTGTCACAGAGACTTGAGCTTCAACTGATAGAGATCAACGGAACTTCAACTCTTTTGCAGGACCTTGAGGCTTCGACGAACGAAAAGCTCCTCCTGGCGCCGCTGGATGATGCTGTCGATGCTCCTGTCAGAGACAAGTCTCCGAGGTGGTGCAGAACGTGCATGGGAGCTGAGTCGCAGGATTTGTACGGCAGCTACATGGGCTCGAGTCTGTAGGCCCAGCAACTTCTGCACGCCCGAAACACAATGTGTGTGCGCAGGCAGCATGGGGAAATCAGTCGTGTCGCTCATCGGCAATCGTCTCTCGGAGGTGCTTAGTCCGTCTTGTTGAAAGCGAAATGAATCGCATGGTCCGAGACCGTGAAGAGATCCCATGCCACACCAGCAAAGTGCACAACGGCACGCCACAGAGGCTCGTATAAAATCACGTAAAGTTGACGTAAAGGCTGCCAGTAAGCACTGATACGACGGAGCGACTGGCTCGGAAGCCTCGCAGGTTCGAACGGTTGCAATCCACGTTCGTCAGCTGGAATGTTGGCCAGAACGAGCACATTCCTGAACAATGCGCTTGATTTGGGCCTCACTTCAGACTCTCACTTGTGATCCTCCAAGCTATGCTTCGCCTTCCTAAGGCTGCGCTCTCTGCTCGGGATTCTCGGTGCTCCTTTCGATTCTCGCCTTCGTCGTCACTCATTTGACTTTTCGGCTTCCTTCACTCTGTTTGGGCCTTTCGGCTTCCGGCGTAGGGCTTGGGGTGGGGATTCTATAGGCTTTCACCTACGTCTGGATTCCGCTATCTTCAATACTCCGCTGACGCCGTGCAGAAAGCGAGGGGCCTGGGCTTTGCAATGCTTTGCATCGGAACGCCCTGTGGAGGCCTTGGTGCCTCGGGGTGTAGGCCTGAGGCGCAGGTCGAGGCCCAACGAGCGCCCCCTGCCCCCCCCATGCCCTGCCCCCTTTTCTGCGCCCCCGCTCTGCCCCCCTGCCCCCTGCTCTGACGCCCTGCGGGTCCAGGCATCAAGGGCGCAAGCGAGGCCCAAATTAGGTGAACAAAAGGCTGAATCATGAATCAAACAAAGTGTCACATTTTCGTAAGAGTTTCCGTCGTCTGTCTGCAGCTTATCATTGTCACTGTTGCAGGCGTATTGGCTTACGGGGAATTTGCCGCACCTCACCAACGGGTCTGCATCTGCCTGGCAGAAAGTGCAGGCTTCCGACAAGATGTAAAGGTCCACTGTGAAAGGAGCAGCCTCCAGGCGACTAGGAAGTTGCTCATGCTTTCCGCTAGAAACACCATCTTCACAGTCCTGCATTCACAGTTTGCGGACTGTCAGAGTGTGATCACAAACCGATCTAATTCAGCTCTCCAATTCCGCAAGCCGTTCCCAACTGTCCTGCGCCATGGCCCTTCACAGAGAATGCTCCACCGTCTACATTCATGCTTCTTGAAGAAGGCTGCAGACCCTGAATCTAATTGAAGTACGGCCGGGGCAATGACCCCGATAGTCGACGTCTGAAGCAGATGTGTGAGTGTCCAGCTGCATGCCTACACCCTGTCCTGCAGTTTGCTAGATGTGCAAACCTTGGTCCAAACTGACGCACGCAGTGTTGCGCTCCCTTTTCTTGCTCATGCGTCGTGCGACGAGCGCAGCCTCTTTGCCTCAAGTTGCACTGCCGAGCTTAGAGGTGCGGTGTCCAGCAAATGCTGTTCTCAGTTCGGGACATCCGGTTCGTCAGTGTCTCTACCTGGTCCATTGCGGCTTCGGCTTAGAAGATCTCTTGGTGGCCTGCTTCCTAGATTCTGGCTCCTTGTTCGCGCCAAAGCATGGAAAGCCTTCTGCAAAAGAGACCAAGGCCCTAGCCTGCGGGCTCCCAGTCGAGTTTGACTGCCAAGCACGTCACCTCGGAGGCCTTGGCCTTCTCCTGGTGCTGCTGCAAAGCTTAGGGCTGTCTTGAGCTGGTATGCAAGCAATAGCGCGAATGCAGTGGCAGATGTTCGTTTCTTGCTCTGTGTAGCAAACGGCCCACAAGTGCGTCCACGGCATCCTCAAGGCGAGGATTTTGAATCAGTTCGTATGGATTGGTGAGTGTTGCAGTCTTTGGCGTCGCTGGCATTAAACAATGCAAAGCCCTAACATCACCCACGACATCGTTCATCATGAGCACGATAATTCGCTCGGTTCAAAATGGTTCAATGTCAGGATCTGCTATACTGCTATACAGGAATCACTGCTAGCTTGATTGAGAGCCAGCACCTACACCTCTATCCCGGACTGCAGGCAGTCATGTGTTTGCATGAAGCAGGGAGGTGCTGCACTTCTCTCGTTGCGCGTTGGTTAGAGTTCTTGTTCCTGTGTACTGGCGACTGAAAGAGTCATGCCATGTGCATGATGTGAACATACAGTCATGTGGAGTGTGCATGAACACCGGAACATTGGAAAACTCAAACATGTAGGTTCAATTAACACAGGGGCTTGTGAACTTATCGTCGTGCGTGTATCCCTGTCGGCGCGTCCCATCGATGCTGTGGAATCGGCGCTTTCAGTTGTTTTACGACATGCTAAGCAGCTTGATCGGGAACTTTTTCGAAAGCACGTTGCAACTTGCAACCCAACAACACTGGAAGCCGCAAGTGCTGTAATGTCGGTGCGGTCCTGCTGAACCCAGTTCGCCTCGCCCTTGACCGCCTGAAGTACATGCTGATGCACCCTTTCATCTAGAAATATCTAGAACATCTCAGAAGCACAAGTCGCATTGCCGAATCGCCTCCTTGAGCCTCTCCTTCGCCAACCTGGATTCTCATTAGTTTTCAATGCGAACGAGCACTACATATGATGGCAACAGACTGGACACCTTTCACCTACCAACAGCACCCGCACACCCAGCTTCACCAACATAAAGAGAAACGAAAAAAAAACTAAAGACTGTTTCAGGGAAAATTGGGGTGCTTTTTCCGAACGCGCAGGGCACAGTGGTCTGTTGTCCGTCAGCACCGACTGCTTTCAAAAGTTGGACTGTTAGACTTCTAAAGACTGTAACTACGCATGCCGAGTAGTGGGGGGCTTATGGATGAGAATTATCCATTTCTCGCGGTTCTGGCAGAAAGGCTGAACCTTACGGAAAAACGGATTTTTCCCATTCTCATAGGAGTGGGAACCCGACGAGTTGAGCGAGCGAGACCTGCTAAATACTCCTTCCAGCAATCTGCGGTGGATGGGTCTGTTTTATGGCTCGATGATAGAGTAGGGCGAAGAAGGGGAATAATAACTCCTCTGGATCGAGTGTAAGCGCAAATGTTCACACTTGTCTTGGTAGAGAGTAAGGCCTGAGTAAGGTTTGTTGTGTGGCCGCAATGTTGGATTAGATGAAAAAGACGATTGCGTTGGGGTGCTGCTCACAAGAGGAGAACAGTGTCGTCTGTTGTAACTGTGAAACCCCACCCTGCGCGGTTATCGAAGGAGACAACACCGTTATTGGCACAAGAGCCGTCTGTATGCGATATATTTATTTATCGGTTTCTTATTATCATTATTACTATTATATGATATTATATATATATATATTCAATATATATATATATATATAGTATGTTATGTTATATATACATATATATATATATGTATGTATGTATGTATATATATATATATTATATATATATGTACATATGTTTATACTCACCCCCGTACATCAAATCCCGTCGATGCAAACTAATAGTGCCGCCAGGCAACTCGGCAATCGTCATGCTTGCCTTTGTGGCATCCTCACAAGCCTTGCAAAAGCTCAATCGATCGCTGTCATGGTGTGCGAAACATTTCTGCACGAACATGCACCCATCAGCTTCCTGGAAGGAGAAGTGACCCTCTCAAAGCTCGAAGCTGTGAGACCTGCCTCGGCCAGTGTTCCAATGTCCTGCGCCAAAGTCTGGCGTAGCAGTTCCCTGCCTCAGCCTGCCTCAGCCTGAAGCTCCATCTGAAAGCCTGTGTAGCATGCGTGCTGCGTCCTGAGGAGTAAGCCCTGAGTTCGCAAGCCCCGAGCTGCCGAGCAAGATCGACGTGTGATCACCTTGTGTGGCTCGGGCCCTCGTGGCACAGCTCGCAGAATTGCTTTCAACATGATGTGACCAACAGGCCGCAAATTCGACACGTCTGGTCTCGCTGTAGCAGGCAATTAGGCCAACACCTGCACGGAGATCGACGACCTGCAGCTTCGCCACAAAACATTAATGTTAAGCCTGGCTCTTCTCCCACGACAAGCCACGGCAGGGGCATCTCGAACAATCCAGCCTCTGTGAGTAAGTCCTGGCACGGCGCGGCGTCTGAACACTCATGAAAACAGCGGAGTGTGCTGCACATGTGTTAGCATCTGCTTACTCAATGGCGTCTTCTCCTCTTCCATCTATTTGCTGAATTTTTGACCGGCACAGGCCTTGTTGTGTTTACCCGTACAGACAGGTCTTCATCCTCTCGCTTGCAACTCCCGCAGCCCCGAGACAAGACGAAATGGACATGTAGCTATCTCCGCTTCCAGAAGGCAAGCCGGCCTCGGCGCTGAGGGCAGTCTCGCCTCGACAAAACAGAGCCCAAAAAATCTGAGGCTCCTGGACCTGGAGAGCCTGTTCTGTTCGTGCCTTCGAATCGCTTCACTGTCCTCCCCTTGTCCCTACATGCCTCCGTTGCGAGACACAGTGAGGCCCTTCGGGTTGAGTGCGACACTGATGGCTGGCGCTTTTCAACAAGACTGCATCGAGGAGCTGTCTTTGGGCGCTTGGCTACTTCGTGGCGTGCCCCATGGTCATGTTTCGTATGGGACGTGTATTCGGTTCGGATCACCGTGCCTTTACCCATGGCGACAGCAGCTGAAGCCCTGGCCGCACAGGAGAAGGGCGGAGTGCACCACAGCATCAAGACACGGACGGCTCCACCTGATTGCTGCGGCACCACGAGCTGCCACTGCCTCTGAGACAGCATGGGCAGTACGAGAAGAAGCGAAGCTTGATAAAATGCAGGCCCGGAGCTTGCCCTTCCGCCCTTATCTGAAGGTCCGGACTTCGGACTATTCGACTTCTCGTATATTGCAGGTTATGAAGACGAGCTCTTGAATTGGCCAAAGCCAAAGGAATGATAAGGAATGGACCTCAGAGCCCGGACGACGACCTCCGGGAAGCGAGACCTCAGAGCAGTGGAGAGTATCACGGCACGCACGAAGCGACACGAAGAAAGGCCATCTCAGAGCTTCACCGAGCCGCCGATCTGCTGATGGGGATTCCGGGCCTACCATGCCAGCATCTACTAGACTTCAATTTTCATTGCTCTGGAGCCGGGGCCCCTTGTCTCTCACTTCACTTGCAACCCTGAAAACAGACCCGTCCACGAGTTTTCTACCACCGGTACCCGACCGCGGCCCTGCGGACTGCGGAATTTTGCACTCCGCGACATAAATCCCGAAGCAACAAGCAGCACCCGATTGTGTTCGAAGAATTGTCTTGAACTTTTCGATTCGATGCGAGCTCTACACCAATGCAGCGAGATGTGGCGGTTCGACCACGAAAGTAGTCGGTCTTGACATGCGAAGGGATGCAACAAATGAGAAAGCGTCGCTTTCAACGGGCAGTCGGAGCAGGATCCTTGAGACTTTTAGGCTCATGGAGAGCACGAATCAAGCGTGTGTTGCTCTTCCCTACCTGATTTTGGCCATGAACATGCAAAAATGCATGCCAAGCATTGACTGGAGAAAGAGTCGAAGCAGTTTCAGAGCCCATTGAACCCGATAAAGCGTTTGCCCATTAGCTCGCACTTTGGACTCCAGCAACACCACAGCTACACCGACTGTAGTGACCCACATCCACATCCACATCGAGTATCATACGAGTGAAAAGGCCAGCGATAGGAAAGCAGAGTATCGGCACAACTGTGGCATAACCTTCTGCACCGAAGAAGGGCCTTTCTTACGGGAAGACAACACCTGGGTGAGACTTCTCTGCGTGGTGGCGTGGGGCGCAGCTGCATCATCAGAATTTCGGAAGCCCAGCAGTCTGTGGGGAGAAGCGCTTGTAGAAAAGATTTTCAGTGGCCGTCACATGCCTCAAAAATCAACTGGAGACGATCGTTGTAGTCTGGAACTTTACCACAGCGGAGCCAAAGGAATCGAATGCTCCTATCGGACTGCTTCTGCTGAGCCTTCAACCGAAGCAAGGCCTGGCACGAGGCGCAGCACGGCACAGCAGGCGCAGCAGTGGCGCAGTTGCACCGTCAAGGCAACAAGGAGCTGTTGGCCGACGCCTTTGCTCGCTTCTGTTCGGGGCTCTCCTTGCTGG